CTGAAATTTAAACAGACATCAGGAGTAGGGAGAGGCCAGGCAGTGGGTGCAGGCACTTCTGAGCCTACAGCGGCAGGGGGAATTACTGGGCCTTTGAAAGCACAGGGATGCCCAGGTCTGCAGCCTCCACTGGGCAGCTCCAGCTGTGGCCAGGAGGGCAGGGCTCCTGCCCCACCAACTCCATGGAGTGTGCAGCCCTGGCCATGCTGCAGCCAGCATCTTTGCAGCAGCTGTTTCAGATAGGCGGCTGCTGCCATCACCTAGCTCAAGCAATCCTCCCACATCAACCTTCTGCATAGCTGGGACTACAGGCATGTGCCGCCACATCTAACTAGTTGAAAACATTTTTTCTGTAGAGATGGGGTTTCGTTATGTTGACCAGGCTGGCCTCAAACTCCTAGGCTCAAGTGGTCCTCCCACCTTGGCCTCCCAACATGCTGGGATTACACAAGAGACCACTATGCCCAGCCTTAAGCTCACTTATAATATAGAATATGTAAATAAAAATGAGATACTGCCAGGTGTGGTGGCTCATGCCTGTAGTCCAAGCACTTTGGAGGCCAAGGCGGGTGGATCACCTGAGGTTGGGAGTTCAAGACCAGCCTGACCAACATGGTGAAACCCCGTCATTTTTTTTAAAAAAAAAAAAAAAAAAAAAAGAGAGAGACCCAATTTCTTACCTATCAGACTGGCAAAGTTAAGAAGTTTGATTATATATGGTGTTAGCAAAGAGTAAAGAAACAGGTAATCTCATTTATTGTTGGTGGAGGTAACTTGGTATTATCTATAAAAACTAAAATTGTCCTTTATGAGGTGACTCTTTGAATATAAAAAAGGAAAAAAAAAAAAACTAAAATTGTACTTAATCACTAACCCAGCAATTTTCTTTCTCAACATATATCCTACTGAAATACTCATACACATGCATGAGGAGACACGTATAAGGATGCTCACTGGAACACTGCTTGCAGTAGCAAGAATCTGGAAATAAATTAAAGGTCCATCAATAAAAGAAGTTAAATATATTCCACCATTTCCAAATTCTGAAATACTGTAAACAAAAAATTTTTAAATGAGGTCTATCTCTATACACTGATTCCTAAAAATCTTCTCCTGGCCAGGCACACTGGCTCAAGCCTGTAATCCAAGCACTTTGGGAGGCCGAGGCAGGCAGATCACAAGGTCATAAGATTGAAACCATCCTGGCCAATGCTGTGAAACCGTCTCTACTAAAAATACAAAACATTAGCTGGACATGGTGCCACACACCTGTAGTCCCAGCTACTCGGGAGGCTGAGCCAGAAGAATTGCTTGAACCCAGGAAGCAGGTGGCAGTGAGTCGAGATCGTACCACTGCATTCCAACCTGGGCAACGGCGAGACTCCATCTCAAAAGAATAAATAAAAATAAAAATAAATATTTTTAAGAAAATAAAAAACAAGAAGTTAATATAGATCTCAAAAAGGTAAATATACAGTTACCATATAACCTAACAATTCCACACCTAGATATATACCCAAAATAAATCAAACGTGTCTACACCAAAACTTTTACTTGAATGTTAAGTGGAAACAATGTAAATGTCTACCACTACAGAATGAATAAACAAACACAATATGATTATTTCCAAACAGTGAAATATTATTCAGCCATAAAAAGAAATGAAGAACTGATATGCGTTATGACATGCTAAGTGAAAGAAGTCAGACACAATATTGTACATTTATATGAAATGTCCAGAATAGGCAAGCCGATAGAGACATAAAGCAGATTAGCGGTTACTAGGATTTGGGAGGAGAGATGGGGAGTGACTGCTAACATGCACAGTGTTTCTTTCTGGGGTGCTGAAATGTTCTGGAATGAGATAGTGGTGACAGCTGCAGTTTGTGACTATGCTAAAACCACTAAACTATATTCTCTAAATGATAAATTTTAGTATGTGAATTATATCTCAATTTTTAAAACCCAACATTTAGAATATGAACCCAGATACGTATGTATTGGGAAAAAACTAAGCCAAAATGTTAACTCTGATTATTCTGGGTACTATGGCATGAGGGATTTGAATTTCTCTGTTTTTTTTTTTTTTTTTTTTTTGAGATGGAGTTTCACTCCTGTTGCCCAGGCTGGAGTGCAGTGGTGCGATCTCGGTTTACTGCAACCTCTGCCTCCCAGGTTTAAGCAATTCTCTGCCTCAGCTTCCCAAGTAGCTGGGATTACAGGTGCCCTCTATCACACCTGGCTAATTTTTGTATTTTTAGTAGAGACGGGATTTCACCATGTTTTCCAGTCTGGTCTCAAACTCCTGGCCTCGTGATCCATCAGCCGACGCCTCCCAAAGTGCTGGGATTACAGGTGTGAGCCACTGCACCCGGCCTAAATTTTCTTTTTCATATGCTTCTGTTTTAGCAGAATTTTCTACAACAAACCTGAATTACTTTTATAATTTTAAAAGTAAAACAAACCTGAATTACTTTTATAATTTTAAAAGTATTTAGGCCAGGCGCAGTGGCTCATGCCTGTAATCCCAGCACTTTGGGAGGCTGAGGCAGGTGGATCATGAGGTCAAGAGATTGAGACCATCCTGTCTAACATGGTGAAACCCCGTCTCTTCTAAAAATACAAAAATTAGATGGGCATGGTGACACGCATCTGTAGTCCCAGCTACTCGGGAGGCTGAGGCAGGAGAATCGTTTGAACCAGGGAGGTGGAGGTTGCAGTGAGCTGAGATCACACCACTGCACTCCAGTCTGGGCAACAGAGCGAGACCCCGTCTCAGAAAAAAAAAAAATTATTTAAAAGTTACATATTAAGGAATATCTTAAGATAGCAATGTTGACAGTATTAACAGCTAGCAAAGTCATAGCAGTTTTGAAGAGCCTCTGTAAGTACTTTTGTGATATCTGGAGAGGGAATACATACATACGCAACTGTCACACAAGGACATTGTGATCCTAAGTTAAACAGAAAAGTTCAAGTGATAAAACTGTGCACAATTGACAAAAAATACATCAAAGGAATTATTACAATTGTAGTCAAAGTCTATATAGAATTGTGGTCTTTATGCAGATAAAAACTTATTGCTTAAAATTCTAATTTCTTTGTTGGAATTTTCTGATGCACGTGTCATTTCTTGATTTAATAAATAGTTCTGAGTTATATATCCTCCAAAATAAAAACAAAAATCAAATAGTTCCTACATCTCTCATAATTTAAACTGACAGTACCTCATGGTTAGAAAATATTTATAAAATTTTTGAACAGGGATGGCTTACCAAACCCTGGCCCACTAAAAATATATATAAATAAAATAAAAATAAAATAATTATAATTTTTTAAATATACAGGCTGGGTGCCATGACTCACATCTGTAATCCCAGCACTTTGGGAGGCTGAGGCAGGAGAATCACTTGAGCTCAGGAGTTCAAGACCAGCCTAGGCAAGATAGTGAGACCCCATCTCTAAAAAATAAAAATTTGTAATGAGCCAAGCATGGTGATGCATGCCTATAGTCCAAGTTATTTTATTATTTCATAATTCATAAAAATAATTTTACATGGCTGGGTGCAGTGGCGCATCCTATAATCCCAGCATTTTGGGAGGCTAAGGCAGGCAGATCACGAGGTCAGGGGATTGAGACCATCCTGGCCAACATGGTGAAACCCTGTCTCTACTAAAAAAAATACAAAATTAGCTGGGCATGGTGGTGCCTGGCTGTAATCCCAGCTACTCGGGAGGCTGAGGCAGGAGAATCACTTGAACCCGGGAGGCGGAGATTGCTGTGAGCTGAGATCACACCACTGCACTCCAGCCTCGTGACAGAGGAAAACTCCATTTCAAAAAAAAAAAAGTTAGTTTTTACAAAACACCATAATTTCAATCAAGAAATATATCCTACTTTCCAATGCAAGCCACCCGAATTACCGGAGAAGGAAGAAGTAAAAAGCGAATAAGAAGAAGAAGAAAAAAAAGACTTGTTGACTTGATTTTTAAATATCCAATATCCATACAACTTGGTTTATTAAAAATGAATCATAATGCAGCTTTCAGAATTTAAGAAATTTCAATAATAAATAATGCAGACACCCTATCAGCATAGCACACTACAGCCCAGAACTCCTGGACTCAAGAGATCCTCCAGCCTCAGCCTCTCAAGTAGCTGAGACTACAGGCACGCACCACGGCAACCGGCCACATTTTAATTTTTTTTAGATGGAACTTTTCTCTTTGCCGAGGCTGGAGTGCAATGGCGCGATCTTGCCTCACTGCAACCTCCACCTCCCACATTCTCCTGCCTCAGCCTCCCAAGTAGCTGGAATTACAGATGCCTGTCACCACACCTGGCTAATTTTTTTGTATTTTTAGTAGAGACAGGGTTTCACCATGTTGGCCAGGCTGGTCTTGAACTCCTGATCTCAGGTGATCTCCCCTCTTGGCCTTCCAAAGTGCTAGGATTACAGGCGTGAGCCACTGCACCTGGCCAGGTGTCACATTTTATAAACAACTTTTCTTTTCTTTTTTGAGAGAAGGTCTTGCTCTGTCACCTAGGCTGGAGTACGGTGGTACAATCATGGCTCACTGCAACCTCTGACTCCTGGGCTCAAGTGATCTTCCCGCATCATCCTCACAAATAGCTGGAACTACAGGAATGTGCCACCATACTAACTTTTAAAGTTTTTGTAGAGACAGTCTCACTATATTGCCCAGGCTGATCTCAAAGTCCTGGGCCGAAGCGATCCTCCTGCCTTGGCCTCCAAAAGTGCTGGGATTACGGGTGTGAGCATCCAGCCACAACTTTTCATTAAAACCAAACCTAAGTATTCTGGCTGTGATAAATCACAGTATCTGATATGAAATATTCAACAACTTGTATTTCTTCTTTCTTTAGTAAATACTTATTAAGTACAATGAAATATATGTATATCACATAGCAATATATAAAGCATATTAGAATACAGCCAACAAGACGAATAAGGAAAATAAGACATTTTTATTATTACCTCCAATAGCATAGACCATTCCTCCCAGAACTGTTACTCCCAGCCCACTTCGAGCCTGATGAAGTGAAGACACAGTGGTCCAGTATTGGCTAAAGGTGTCAAAACGTTCTACACAGCTGAGGGCTCTGCTGTCACTCCAACGACCCCCCTGTAACCGAGTATATCCACCTAAACAAAAGAAGAAAAGGGAGTACACAGCAAATCCCTTACTATTAGATATAAAAATGGTAGTATTGAAAATCTAGCATTCTACATGTAAACATTTAGTTTATTTTTTTTTTAACTATCATATAGCAAGAAATAAATGGATTAGAGCTTACTTTCTCTATATACTTATAATGTAATATTCTTTTTTTTTTTTTTTTTGAGATGGAGTCTCACTCTGTTACCCAGGCTGGAGTGCAATGGTGCGATCTTGGCTAACTGCAACCTCTGCCTCCTGGGTTCAAGTGATTCTCCTGTCTCAGCCTCCCAAGAAGCTGGCATTACAGGCATATACCACCATACCAGACTAATTTTTGTATTTTTAGTAGAGTTGGGGTTTTTCCACGTTGGTCAGGCTGGTCTCGAACTCCTGACCTCAAGTGATCCACCCAGCTCAGCTTCCCAAAGTGCTGGGATTACAGATGTGAACCACCGTGCCTGGCCATAATGTAATATTCTTAAATGTGCCAATTCCTGAATGATTGTGGCTTAAATACAGTAAGAAGATTAGCCTCAAAAAAAGAAAAAAAGGAGGTTAGCCTCAGTGTATTACCACTTGGTCTTGGTTATAAATAGAATATTATATGAAATATAAATCTAGATATTGCTTATCTGTTAAGTAAGGAAAGTCTCATTATAACTTTCATTGGTGTCTTTTTCAATTAAAAATAGTGAGTTGAAAGCCGTGTGTGTGTGTGTGTGTGTGTGTGTGTGTGTGTGTGTGTGTGTGTGTGTGTGTTTTAGGCAGGGTTTTGCTCTCTCACCCAGGCTGGAGTGCAGTGATGTGATCACAGCTCACTGTAGCCTCAATCCCACCCCATCAGCCTCCTGATGAAATCTTTGTTTTGACTACACATCCAATCAGCAAAAAAATTTTAACATGTAGCCAAAAGCATTATACTTAAATATTAATACATATATAATTATACATATATGTAAATTATAAATTATATATAAAGTACTTATATGAAAACTGTATTATATATAAGGATCTGGACAATCTGTATATGTATCTATATATTATATATGTTTTAAATGCTGATAAAGTTTAATGCTTTTTTTCTCATTTTTTGAGACAGGGTCTTGCTCTGTTGCCCAGGCTGGAGTTCAGTGGTACAATCTCAGTTCGCTGCAACCTCTGCCTCCTCAGCTCAAGTGATCCCCCCACCTCAGCTTCCCAAGTAGCTGGGACTACAGGCACACCCCACCACACCAGGCTAATTTTTACATTTTTTTTCTTTTTTTTTTTTTACTGTGTCTCACTCTGTCTCCAAGGCTGGAGTGCAGTGGTGTGATCTTGGCTTACTGCAACCTCCACCTCCCGGGTTCAAGCAGTTCTCTGCCTCAGCCTCCCGAGTAGTGGGGATTACAGGCACCCAGAACCATGCCCGGCTAATTTTTGCATTTTTAGTAGAGATGGGGTTTCACCACCTTGGCTAGGCTGGTCTTGAACTCCTGACCTAGTGATCCACCTGCCTCGGCCTCCCAATGTGCTGGTATTACAGGCATGAGCCACTGTGCCCAGCCAATTTTTGCATTTTTTTGTAGAGACCAGGTCTCATCATGTTGCCTAGGCTGGCCTTAAAATTCTGGGCTCAAGCAATCCTCCCACCTCGGCCTCCCAAAGTGCTAGGATTACAGGCCATAAGTTGCCACAACCAGATGTATGTAAGTTTAATACTTTTTTTCTTTTTTTTTTTGAGATGGAGTCCCACTCTGTCACCCAGGCTGGAGTGCAGTGGTGTGATCTCAGCTCACGGCGACCTCCACCTTTTGGGTTCAATCAATTCTCCTGTCTCAGCCTCCTGAGTAGCTGGGACTACAGCTGTATGCCACCATGCCTGGCTAATTTTTTATATTTTTAGTGGAGACGGGGTTTCACCATGCTGGCCAGGCTGGTCTTTAACTCCTGACCTTGTAACCCACCCGCCTCAGCCTCCCAAAGTGCTGGGATTATAGGTGTGAGCCACCACACCCAGCTTTGGTTTAATATTTTTTAAAATAAAAATGAAAAGAAGTTGTAATATGTTCCTCTGATATTCCTGTGGATCATCCTTTACAACCACACTTTGGAGATCACTGGTGCCTATCACTCCTAATGACTAAGATGCTGTGAATAGTTTAAAAACTTGAGATTCATTTTCTTTATTTTTCATAAGAATTCAAATTTTTTACTTTTAAAGCAGTACTTCTTTAGTCACTTATTTGATAACTGGGTAATCTACAAACTCAAAGGTTTAGATCACAGAATAACAGATATCAAATGAACAGCTATTTCTTTTTAGAAGTATTTATCATAATATATAAATTTAGTTTATGAATCTGTAGACTGTATGTGACATTAAATATGCCTCTTCAACACACCCACATATTCTGACATGTATAGTAATAACAACAAAATGTTGAAAAGGTTTGATCTGGAACACAAATATAATTTCTATTACTTAAGGGTTCTCACCTACTGCATACAGGTACTTTCTTGCTTTCTTCCGAGGTCGAACCTTAGATGTCTGCAGAAAACTACAAAACTTATTCTCTTTGGGAGATTTGCATACTTCACAGTACTCTTTCAAAAGTGTTTGCAATGCAACACGAAGATTAAAATCAGATACTCCTAAAGCAATATTTTAAAAGATAATATTTTAAGCAACTTATAAATTAATACTGAAAAAACACATTTTTATAAAGATCAGATAAATTTAACAATCAAGAAATAAAAAATCATCATCAAACAATGGTGTTTGTTTCCTACAATACCAAATATTGGTACTAAATATTTTAAGGAAAGTATTTTCTTCACTAATGAAGAACAAAAAACATTATTATTAAAAAATATGCTTCATATGTAAGCAGAATAGCCACTAAAAAATATGCTTCACAATATCCTATTTGAAAGCACATGTATAAGAATTTCTAGGTCGAGACGGGCGCGGTGGCTGACGCCTGTAATCCCAGCACTCTGGGAGGCCGAGGCGGGTGGATCACGAGGTCAAGAGATCGAGACCATCCTGGTCAACATGGTGAAACCCCGTCTCTACTAAAAATACAAAAAATTAGCTGGGCATGGTGGCGCATGCCTGTAATCCCAACTACTCAGGAGGCTGAGGCAGGAGAATTGCCTGAACCTAGGAGACAGAGGATGCAGTGAACCAAGATCGCGCCATTGCACTCTAGCCTGGGTAACAAAAGCAAAGCTCCATCTCAAAAAAAAAAAAAAAAAAAGAGAATTTCTAGGTCAAGCATGGTAGCTTATGCCTGTAATCTCCGTACTTTGGGAGGCCAAGTGGAATGGATTGCTTGAGCCCAGGAGTTAGAGACCAGCCTGGCCAACATGACAAAACCTTGTCTCTACAAAAAATACACAAATTAGCTGGATGTGGTGGCACACGCCTATAGTTTTAGCTACTCAGGAGGTTCATATAGGAGTACCATTTGAGCTCAGGAGGCAGAGTTTGCAGTGAGCCCGGACTGTGCCACTGCATTCCAGCCTGGATGACAGAGCAAGACCCTGTCTCAAAAAAAAAAAAAAAAAAAAAAAAAAAAAAAAAAAAAAAAAAAAAGAAGAATTTTCAAATAACAATTGCAAACTGAAACAAGATCACAATTATCTAACAAACTTTAAAAATTAAAATAGCCCAAAATTCTACATTTACAACATAATAACAAAAAGATATAAAATTATGATTAATGCTTAAGAATGATAGACAAAGCAAGAAAAATAAATTCTGGTGGAATTAGTACCATATCCTAAAAGGATCATACATATGATGAGGTAAGTTGTCCTTGCTCAAGGGTGCTTAGCTGAGGAGGTAAACTGGAGATGAGAGTCAACCTGCGTTCATTTGCCAGGCTGCAAGACCTGTTCTCCCTGAAAGAGCGCTATTTTCTAATTTGCACAAAGCCATTACACATGCTAGCAAGAGATCGTCTCCTATCCTTCCATCTCTAACCTTGTCTCTATATCCCAGACAAGAAACAATATTGAGGAAAATGGTCAACTAACAAAATCTTGAGAATTCTCACTAATAATTCAGAATTTGCAGACAGACTGAAGAGTGAAAAGCAGAACTGAGAAAGGTTGAACAAAATCAAAAGGAGGCCGGGTACGGTGGCTCATGCCTATAATCCCAGCACTTTGGGAGGCTGAGGCGGGCAGATCACAAGGTCAAGAGATCGAGACCATCCTGGCCAACATGGTGAAACCCTGTCTCTACTAAAAGATACAAAAATTAGCTGGGCATGGTGGCGCGTGCCTGTAGTCCCAGCTACTCGGGAGGCTGAGGCAGGAGAACTCCTTGAACCCAGGAGGTGGAGGTTGCAATGAGCCGAGATCCCGCCACTATACTCCAGCCTGGCACCTGGTGACAGAGCAAGACTCTGTCTCAAAAAAAAAAAACTGTTAAAAGGAAGTCTTTACAGGACCATCAGCTAAGGCAGAAAGGATCACCTGGATTTGCTATCTAACAGAACACAGTGGTAGCCAAAGTCCACACAAGTGGGATACATCTCTGGCTAGGTTAAGTAGGCCCAGATATAAGATAAATAGCAGGATCTCGTTCTCTGACCCAGGCTAGAGTACAGTGACATGATCACAGCTCACTGCAGCTTCGACCTCCTTGGCTCAATTGATCCTCCTAGCTGGACTACAGGCATGCACCACCACACCTGGCTAATTTTTTAAAAAAATTTTTATAAGCCGGGCGCGGTGGCTCAAGCCTGTAATCCCAGCACTTTGGGAGGCCGAGGCGGGTGGATCACGAGGTCAAGAGATGGAGACCATCCTGGTCAACATGGTGAAACCCCGTCTCTACTGAAACTACAAAAAATTAGCTGGGCATGGTGGTGCATGCCTGTAATCCCATCTACTCAGGAGGCTGAGGCAGGAGAATTGCCTGAACCCAGGAGGCGGAGGTTGCGGTGAGCCGAGATCGCGCCATTGCACTCCAGCCTGGGTAACAAGAGCGAAACTCCGTCTCAGAAAAAAAAAAAAAAAAAAAAAATTTTTATAGAGATATGGTCTCAATATGTTGCCCAGGCTAGTCTCAAACTCCTGGCCTCAAGTGATCCTCCTGGTTTGGCCTCCCAAAGTGTTGGAATTACAGTTGTGACTACCATGCCTGGCCTGTTGTTTTTATATTTCTGTCTTGCCTAAACTTTTTATAATGAGCATATTCCATTTAAAGATAAGTAAAATTGGCCGGGTGCAGTGGCTCATGCCTATAATCCCAGCACTTTGGGAGGCCGAGGAGGGGGGATTACAAGGTTAGGAGTTTGAGACCAGCCTGGCCAACATAGTGAAACTCCATCTCTACTAAAAATACAAAAAATTAGCTGGGCGTGATGGCGGGCACCTGTAATCCCAGCTACTCCAGAGGCTGAGGCAGAAGAATCACTTGAACCTGGGAGGCGGAGGTTGCAGTGAGCTGAGAGAAAGCCATTGCACTCCAGCCTGGGTGACAAAGTAAAATCATTCTCTAAAATACAAGAAATAGACATAATCAAATGTCTAATAATATTAAATTGCCTAAATTATTTCAGTTGTAAGTACAAAAATATGTATACTAGGAGAAAAACCAATACATTTCATCTAATACAACTTAACCATTTAAGATTTTGCTCCCTCTGAATTTATATTTTTGTATACAAGTTGCTCATATTTTCTCCAATATAATCAAAGAGGAAACATTTCAAAGTTGAAAAACATTATGGTTGTCTTACAAAAATCAATTTACTGCTGGGTGTGGTGGCTCACACCTGTAATCCCAGCACTTTGGGAGGCCGAGGTTGGTGGATCACGAGGTCAAGAGTTCAGAAGACTGACCAACATGGCGAATTCCCATCTCTACTAAAAATACAAAAAGTAGTCAGGCATGGTGGTGCATGCCTGTAATACCAGCTACGCAGGAGACTAAGGCAGGAGGATCGCTTGAACCCGGGAGGTGGAGGTTGCAGTGAGCTGAGATTGCACCACTGCACTTCAGCCTGGGCCACAGAACAAGACTCTGTCTCAAAAAAAAAAAAGAAAGAAAGAAAGAATGAAAAAATCAGGCCAAGTTTGGTGGCTCACTCCTGTAATCCCAGCACTTTGGGAGGCCGAGGTGGGCGGATCACGAGGTCAAGAGATTGAGACCATCCTGGCCAACATGGTGAAACCCTGTCTCTACTGAAAATACAAAAATTAGCTGGGTGTGGTGGTACACGCCTGTAGTCCCAGCTACTCAGGAGGCTGAGGCAGGAGAATTGCTTGAACCTGGGAGGCAGAGGTTGCAGTGAGCCGAGCCGAGGTCATGCCATTGCACTCCAGTCTGGTGCCTGGCAATGGGGCGAGACTCTGTCTCAAAAAAAAAAGAAAAAGAAAAAATCAATTTACTTCTCCCTTGATCCTTGCAGTATTTTCCTTCATTGAAATACTACTAGATAACCACTGGGCATGCTTAGAAAACAGTTCAAGATTTGAATTAGACACTCCTACTGTGTCTAATTTATAAATTATAATTTTAAAAAGCTGTAAGAAAACATCCCACATTCCTAGGGGACATTGCCTTGCTCCTAGCAGAAGAAATTTCCATTAGTACTCTGTGTCTGCTATACTTGGAAAAATCAACTCAATCATGAAAACTTTTGTCCCACTCCTAAATTCTCACCTGATTCATGTCAAGGTGTCTGGATAATTTCTTGTTTTAGCATTTAAATAGTGTATTCCTATACACTATTAAATAAGGAATAAGATATATTCCTTATTTGTGAATATACCTACTTGCTAAAATGTATTTGTAACCCCAAAATTAATATAGTAGTCCTTCTTATCTGCGGTTTTACTTTCCATGGTTTCAATTACCCATTAATATTTCTAAAAATAGGCCAGGCGCGGTGGCTCAAGCCTGTAATCCCAGCACTTTGGGAGGCCGACGCGGGTGGATCACGAGGTCAAGAGATCGAGACCATCCTGGTCAACACGGTGAAACCCCGTCTCTACTAAAAATACAAAAAATTAGCTGGGCATGGTGGCGCGTGCCTGTAATCCCAGCTACTCAGGAGGCTGAGGCAGGAGAATTGCCTGAACCCAGGAGGCGGAGGTTGCGGTGAGCCGAGATCGCGCCATTGCACTCCAGCCTGGGTAACAAGAGCGAAACTCCGTCCCAAAAAAAAAAAAAAATATTTCTAAAAATATTAAGGGGAAACTCCTGAAATAAACAATTCCTTTTTTTTTTTTTTTTTTTTTGAGACAGGGTCTGGCTCTGCCACCCAGGCTTAAGTGCAGTGGCAGGATCTTGGCTCACTGCAGCCTCAACCTCCTGGGCTGAAGTGACCCTCCCACCTCACCCCCAGAGTAGCTGGGTCTACAGGCACATGCCACCACACCCAGCACATTTTTCTATTTTTTGTAGATACAGGTTTCAACATGTTGCCCAGGCTGGTCTCAAACTCCTGGGCTTAAGTGATCTGCCCACCTCATCCTCCCAAAGTGCTGGGATTACAGGCATGAGGCCACCTTGCCTCGCCCAGAAATAAACAATTTTTTTTTTTTTAATTTTAAAAAATAGAGAGAGGATTTTGCCATGTTGGACAGGCTGGTTTCGAACTCCTGACCTCAAGTGATCCACCCGCCTTGGCCTCCCAAAGTGCTGGGATTACAGGAGTGAGCCACCATGTCTGGCCTAAACAATTCTTAAGTCTGTTTTTTTGAGACAGAGTTTTGCTCTTGTTGCCCAGGCTGGAGTGCAATGGTGCGGTCTCGGCACACTGCAACCCCCACCTCCTGGGTTCAAGTGATTCTCTTGCCTCAGCCTCCTGAGTAGCTGGGATTACAGGTGCCCATGACCATGCCCAGATAATTTTTGTATTTTTAGTAGAGGCAGGGTTTCACCAAGTCAAGTCTTAGTGAAAGGGTTTCACCGAGAGTTCAAGTCTTGAACTCTTGACCTCAAGTGATCCGCCCGTCTCAGCTTCCCAAAGTGCTGGGATTACAGGCATGAGCCACTATGCCTGGCCAACAATTCTTAAGTTTTATTATTTATTTATTTATTTTTCTTTACAGTGCATTTTTTCAAGGTGCTGTTTAAAAATTCTTAAGTTTTTTTTTTTTTTTTTTGAGACGGAGTTTCGCTCTTGTTACCCAGACTGGAGTGCAACGGTGCGGTCTCGGCTCACCACAACCTCCGCCTCCTGGGTTCAGGCAATTCTCCTGCCTCAGCCTCCCCAGCAGCTGGGATTACAGGCACGCGCCACCATGCCCAGCTAATTTTTTGTATTTTTAGTAGAGATGGGGTTTCACCGTGTTGACCACGATGGTCTCGATCTGTTGACCTCGTGATGCACCTGCCTCGGCCTCCCAAAGTGCTGGGATTACAGGCTTGAGCCACCGCGCCCGGCCCCTAAAAATTCTTAAGTTTTATACAAGTTTTCAATGATAGCCTAACACTATATCACAATGCATAAGTCATTCACCTCACTTCATTTTATCACGTAGGCGCTTTACCATCTCATACCATCACCAGAAAAAGGGTAAGTACAATATAATATTTTAAGAGAGAGCATATCCACATAATTTTTATTACAGAATATGAATATAATTGTTTTACTTTATTATTAGCTATTATTAATCTTTTACTGTGTCTAATTTATAAATTAAACTTTATCATAGGTATATATTTATAGGAAAAAACATAATGTACATTAGGTTCAGTATTATCTACAGTTTCAGGCATCCACTGGGGGGGTTTCAGAATGCATCCCCCACAAGTAAAGGGGGACTACTGTACTTGTTCTTTCGCAGTCATTCACAGACATGCGTAAAGTGGCAAAAAATGTGAATCACCCTACATGCATTTTCTGGGTGAGATCAAACAAAGTTTCACTCTGCCTTCTCATTTCAACTCTTATTAAATAGACTGTGGAAAAGACAAGTAGTCTTTTCCACAGTGTATTTAGTGTCGTTTTTGCACTTTTGTGCTTTTTGTTGGTAATTTTGCTGTTTAAAATGGCTCCTAACCATAATGATCAGGTATTACCTAGTACCCCTAAGTGCAAGAAAGCTATGAAGTGCCTTACAGAGAAAATGCCTATGTTAGATAAAGTTTCATTCAGGGATGAGTTATACCACTGGTGGCCATGAGTTCAATGTTAAAAAATCAATAATACATATTCAATAAGGTGTTTTTAGGCATAAACCCATATAAAACAAGGCTATATTGACTATGTGACAAAAATGTTGTAACTATAGGCTTGCAGGAACATAAACCTATATTTCCCCTAGGAGCAATCATTCAGTATTTGCTGATTCTCTGTTCATAGCAGACTTATAGAACTTATAGAACTTATAATTACTGCAAATAACAATCAACTATATATGTAGTAAAACAAGGTATCACTCGGGAAAACCTACAAAATTATGTTAACACTGCTAAGAGTGGAGAAAAACTAATAATCCATTATTTTAAATTACGTATTTAAAGAATTACACCTTCAATGTTTAGTAGTGCATTTAACTTGTAATAAGATCATTTGTAATTCAATAGCAACATAATGTTTCAGTGCATGACAAAAGTAAAAACTTCAAATCTCAAAACCAAGTCTAAAGTAGGCTGGAGTACAGTGGCACAATCCTGGCTCACTGTGGCCCCTGGGCTCAGGTGATCCTCCCACCTCAGCCTTCCAGGTAGCTGGGACTATAGGTGCATGCCACCATACCTTGCTAATTTTTTGCTTTTGTTGTTGTTGTTGTAGAGACAGGGTTTCACCATGTTGCCCAGGCTGATCTTGAATTCCTGGGCTAAAGCGATCTGCCTGCCTTGGTCTCCTAAAGTGCTGGAATTACAGGCATGAGCCACTGCACCTGCCCTAAAGTAATTCTTAGAAATAAATTTAAATATAATTTTTCTATTATAAATATAACTATTTCGTCTTACGGTAAAATAAATTTTCAGAATTAAGTTTAGAATCTAAAGATAATTCAAAGCTACTCAGAGGCTATAATAGTGTATTAATACCAAATTTATTTTATAATGAAAGAACTTATAGGATTCATTGAGTTTTTTTATTTTTAGTGTATGCATTTTCTTCAAGTATTAGGTTTTGCTTAATTTTTCAGAGTGGCAAGGGGAAATCTTACACGTAAATAATTAGTTCTGTCAATAGCAGTCGTTATGTTAGCTCTGTCAGTAATTTTATCTATAACACTAATCTGCCTTAGTAATCAATCTCAAGAAAGAGTTTGATAAAAATAATGGGTATTTTTAAATATTACCCATATTAAATATTAAAAGACTATTGCCCACCCACAAAACACAAAAGTTGTATCTTACATAGTCATTCAATAAGTTTAAAAAAAGAAAATAAGAGTAGTCATTCAATAAATGTCTGTTACTGAATCAAAAAATGAAAACACTCTCCCATATTTCAGAGAACACATCACTGGATAATTAATCAACTAATTTGATATATGGCAAAAAAGTTACCTTCTATATACTTTAAAAGCCTCTGAGGAGGTAATAAAGGGAATCGAATTGGGTCTAGCACTTCCACCACATGTTTTCTTCTTTTTCCCAAATCTTTCAGAATCCATTGCATTGCAGCTAAGAAGACCTGGTATTCATCCTCAATGCTAAGCTCTTCACTTCGCAAAATTTTGATCAGCTGATCTTTTGTAAGTGCCAGGAACTCTTCCCCACTATGAACCTCTAAGAAATGGACGTGAATGTAGTTTTCTGAGAATTCCAAGAGATCATGGCAGGCAATTTGCTCAGAGAACTGAAAGATCCCAATGCAGTTCAGTGGATCAATTTGTCCTTTCAGAAATTCACAGCAAAGATGAACAACTTCAGTCAACTGTAGCATGTCTGCTGCAACAATCAACTCCTGGACATTATTCACACCTATGTTCACTATCCCTAGAGAAGTAGGAAGACAAAATGGCCAATAAAATAAAAACAAACATTGGTTTACCATATTCAAAAAGCGTTCTATTTGATTTCACTGATAGTTTGATGTTTGCAAAGTAGACAAACACTAAAAAAGACAACCAAGGATTTGTGTAAAGAGCACAAAATTTAAATGATAACAATACCTAACACATTTATGAAAAACTTAAAATGAACCAGGTGCAGTATTAATTGCTTTATATCCTCATTTAACCCTCACTACAATCCCATGTGGTAGATATTATTATTTTTCTTATTTTCATATAAAGGAAACAGAATCAAAGTTTAAGTAACTTGTCCATAAGTTCTATGGTCAAGCAAGTTGCAAGATAGGGGTTGACATCAAAGTCCATGCTTTTGGCATAAAAAAGAAGAAAATCCCAGCACTTTGGGAGGCTGAGGCGGGCAGATCAGAAGGTCAAGAGATCGAGACCATCCTGGCTAACATACTGAAACCCCGTCTCTACTAAAAATATAAAAATTAGCTGGGCATAGTGGCGCGGGCCTGTAGTCCCAGCTATTTGGGAGGCTGAGGCAGGAGAATTGCTTGAACCCAGGAGGCAGAGGTTGCAGTGAGCCGAGATTGCGCCACTGTACTCCAGCCTGGCGCCTGGCAACAAAGCAAGACTCTGTCTCAAAAAAAAAAAAGAAAAAGAAAATCATGTGCTTTAGAACAACATAGATGGGGCTGGAGGCCATGGTTCTAAGCAAATTAACACAAGAACAGAAAACCAAATATCATATGTTTTCATGTATAAGTGGCAGCTAAACACTGCATACATATGGACACAAAGAAAGCATGGATAGACTTAGAATGGAGGGTAGGTGGACGGACAGTAAGAACTGCAAAATTGTGGCCGGGCATGGTGGCTCACGCCTGTAATCCCTGCACTTTGAGAGGCCAAGGTAGGTGGATCACTTGAGGTCAGGAGTTCGGACCAGCCTGGCCAACATGCAGAAAACCTGTCTGTACTAAAAGTATAAAAAAATTATCTGGACGTCATGGCGGATGCCTGTAATCCCAGCTACTCGGGAGGCTGAGGCAGGAGAATCACTTGAACCCAGGAGGCAGAGGTTGCAGTGAGCCGAAATCACACCACTGCACTCCAGCCTAAGTGACAGAAAGACTCTGTCCCCAAAAAAAAAAAAAAAAAAAAAAAAAAAACAAGAAAGAAAGAAAGAAAAATTACCTATCAGGCATTATACTGATTATCTGAGGGACAAAATTATCTACATACCAAGCCCCCAAGACAATTTATCCATGCAACAAACTTACACATGAACCTAAAATAAAAATTGGAAAGAAAAAAACAAGCAACAACAACAAATAAAGACTATGGTTTTAACATAAGGTTAGATGCATGTAACAAACATTTACTGAGGCACTCGGGAGAGTAAGACAGGGTCTCTATCTTAAATTACGATAAAATGCCATACAATGCTCATTTTTTGTTTGTCTGTTTGTTTTGAGACACTGTCTCGTTCTGTTGCCCAGGCTGGGGTGCAGTGGCACAATCTTGGCTCACTGCAGACTCCGCCTCCTGGGCTCAGGTAAGCCTCCCACTTCAGCCTCCCAAGTAGCTGGCACTACAGACACCACCACAACCAGCTAGTTTTTTGTATTTTTTTTATAGAGACAGGGTTTCGCCACATTGCCCAGGCTGATCTCAAACTCCCGGACTCAGGCAATCCACCCACCTCAGCCTCCCAAAATGCTGGGATTACAGGTATAAACCACCATACTCAGCACAATGTTAGTTTTTAGTATTAAGAATAACCAAGAATCTATAACATATGAGAAACTATTAAATACTTAAACTATGTATACCACTCTCTTTTCCAAGGGCTTCATTTTCTTTTTTATAACACTTATTCCACTTAACTATGTGTCTAAAGTTTGTATTCCAGATAGATTTACAAAGACTCTTAGGGCATGGTTTGTCTGCTCTGTATTCCTAACACCCAGCATATACCAGATGCTTAAAAAAATTTTTTAAGTGAATGAAAGGCTAAAGAGATTATAGTGAGAAAAAGAATATGGTTCACTGAATGCAAACAAGAGGTTTTCCAAAAGTGTAAGAAATTGACTCCAGCAAGGGAATAAATAGTACTTGCTGCAGAGAAAACAAATAAGATTTACTTGAATGAAATAGGAATTCATGACAAACTTAAACAGAAGATAGGATCATGGGTTGTGATGTAAGGGGGCTGAATGACTGTTACTAGAATAAAGCCAAGTGTTACTTGAGAGTTAAGGCTATACAATTTAATATGGTTTTATAGTTAACAAAGCACTTCCACATTTACTAAAATTTATCTTGTTTAACCTTTACATAAATTATAAAATGCTACTGTATCTAATCTGCATTACCTAGAAAGCTTTCTAAAGGCAGAGAGTATGTTTGTCTACTTTACTGTCCTATCTCCAGTGACTAGCTCAAAAGGAGTACTCAATAGGTATTTGTTGAAAAATAAACAAATGATTGACTAAAGTTAAATGAAATGCCTAGTATCACAGAGCTAATTAGTGGCACACAGCTAGATCTCAAGCCCAGGTCATTTGATTGATTCCAAGTAAAATGCATACAAATCTTAAGGTGATGTGTGGTGGCATATGCCTGTAGTCCTAGTTACTCAAGAGGATGAGGTGGAAGGATTTTTTTGAGCCAAAGAGTTGGAGGCTGCAGTGAACTACGATTGTGTCACTGCACTCTAGCCCGGCTGACAGACTGAGACCTTGTCTCTTTAAAAAAAAAAAAAAAAAAAAAAAAAAAGGCCAGATGTGGTGGCTAACGCCTGTAATCCAAGCACTTTGGAGGCCAAGGCGGGCGGATCATCTGAGGTCCGGAGTTCAAGACCAGCCTGACCAACATGGTGAAACCCCATTTTAAATATATATATATTTTAAATATATATAAATATATATATATTTTAAATATATATAAATATATATATATTTTAA